GGGTGGGGGGCGTGTGAAATGGCTAAAAGGTAACAGCCAGAGTCTTCGCAGCGTTAAAGTTATTGAACGCAGCGAGAGATTCACGGGTGAGATTTCGTGCGGCATTACCTTATTCGCCGCTGATCCGCGATACGAGATTAAAGCTTTAATCGGCGATTAGAGGCTGGCAGGTGCTCCTTCTTCGTAGGAACGACTCTCAGCATCCATATAGTTAGGCACTGTACGTAACGTGTATGGATATTTATGGATACGTCCCGAGTGCGCCGAGTGCGCCAGGAGTGATGGTGGCGGTTATGGTGGTTGTGGCCGGGAGGTTGGGAATATCCCGTGAGAATCGGCGCCTCTTTAGGTTTCAGGCACCGTACATCGCATTAGCCATCTTTAGCGCTGCGAGAGACGCGATGATAGATGGAGGTAGAAAGTAGGCACGCGCTCGATTTCCGCCGAGCCCAACATTGCGTCGCGACGCTCGCCGGGGCGTCTACGTGTACGAAACGTGATGTGTCTTCGTTCTCGGAACCCTGTATACTTGTAGGTAGGGTTTGGTTAGAAAATTGATGAGTCCAAATAAAAAATTAAGGAGGCTGCTCGATCGTCAGGTGTACCCGGATAATATTTCTTTCCAATGTTCGGAAACGCATAAAGGTCGATCCACAATTCCGAACGAGGGCGAAACGGTAAAGGGAAACGTCACTCGCCAGACTTTGGGGTAGGAAAGTTTGGATTTAGTGGTCCCTTCCTTCCGATTACGTTTCAGCAAAGTAAGAAAACGAGAGGGAAGACTGTTGTCGCAGACTCAACTGGCCGAAAGGCAGTTCCTCTTACTTAGGTATTACGAGGATAAATTTTAATTAAGATCCTGGAGATCCGCGCGGCACGAGAAAAGAGGGGAAATAAGAAAGCAGAATAGACGCACTGAGAAATAAGGTATTTCGGACTCACCGTGAAGCTGTGCGAGGGACTGTAGGGTGTTGGCACTGCAGTTTATGAATCCTGAAAGCACAAGAGATAGAATGGGGAGTTTACAAGAGTTCGTAAAAATTTCACAATGTTGTAACGTTATAAAAAAAAAAAAAAAAAAAAAAAAAAAAAAAAAAAAAAAAAAAAAAAAAAAAAAAAAAAAAAAAAAAAAAAAAAAAAAAAAAATTAAAAATCTCGTTCCTAACCAACTTCATTACGACCGCACATACGTACGAGTATATAGTAATAAGAGACATAATAAAAAGTTTTAAAAAGCCGTCGACCAGCGCAGAGTTATTTGACTGCCTGATGACGACATACTCGCGCCTCAAGAACTGCTTAGTGATTTATTAATTTCCTGTCAACAGATACGTGAACCCTGGGTTCAGACGCCTGGCGTCGACTCAACGTGACGGAGACGACCGCTCGTCGTGCTACTAGAAGATCCCAGGCGCCTATCACCTGCATACTCACGGAGTTAGTCAAGTAGCCATTAAGGTAGTATCGGGCCCCATGACCTCCCATTCCTATAGCGCCCCATATGTGTTATCGAGGAGTAGGTAGTACCACATGCAAAAAGGTGATACCAGGAAAAGCAGAATAGCCAAGAGAAAGACGAAGGCAGAGAACGAAGCGAAGGAATCAAGTATAATAAAAACGGCGTCGGAACGCAACGTCCTAACGGGGCGCAACGAGTTATAATGATAGGCGAGTTAGAATTCCCATGACACGGCATGGGCTAACCTCTGACCTTAGGGCTAAGAGGCGTCGAGAGAAAACGGCAGCGTGTGAGTAAACATTGACATTTAGGATTGTTAAATCAGCACTGGCGAATTTCTTCTTGCCCCCACCATCGCCCCTGTCGTCTCATAATACCAGGACCCGACGGGAAGATATCTCTGTCTCTCTCTCTCTCTCTCTCTCGAACCGTCTTCAAGCTTTCTTCTCAAGTTTCCACATAGAAACCTCGCACCCATCGTTCCATTATTCCAATACGTCACTCGCGCGATAAAACGAATATTTTCGAGTTTCACGAATTGGAGATAAGAATCAAGAAAAAATATAACGACGACGAGCAAGACAGACGCGTCGGACAGACAGATCGTCACTTTCGTGCCGCATTTGTTTCACAAGAGTATCGACTGCACCGCGAGTCGGTTCGGTTGGCCTGTTGCGCAATTCCCGCGCCAGGAGCCTTTATTACAATTGCGCTGCCAACTTGCCACGTATTCGGTCGGTTGAGGCGGTGGCGCCGCGACGCTATAAGGTGGTGAAGGTAGATAGAGTATTGGACTGACGAATAGTTATGAAATATACGTAGAAAAGGAACGCGGTTCCATTCCATTCCTAATTTAAATTCCCATTCCATCGTTTCTCGTGCCTACCTGCTTACTTTATTCCACGAGTAATCAGCTGATAGTATACACACGTATATATATGTATATTAGCAAACTGGAACAGATAAATGATTACACCGATATCCGGTGGCACTGGCACTGACAGTACAAGTTAAGTCAGATTGCCTGTAATCTCCTTCACTTTTTTGTATCCCTCCTCTCTCTCTCTCTCTCTCTCTCTCTCTCTCTCTCTCTCTCTCTCTCCTACAGTACCCCTACTCCCTAAAACCAGTAGAGCAGCTTCGATATAGAAACATGCAAGCAGCCGTACGTATCGACCTGCGGCCACCAAACTACAGTTTGACGATTGAGCTAACTGCTGTCACCGCGTGAAAACGAAAGTGGCTCAAGTTATTGTCGTCGAAGAAATGATGACCGTGTATCGATTACTCCAGCGGACGTGCAGTCATGTGTGATCAAAGCTGTACATACGTGTATACGGCAGCAAAGAGAGATTGGCCCACAGCTGAACAATTGTTTGTCTCTGTGAATAATTCCTCGTCCGGTCGTAAAGGAATTACGCAAAACGTCATATATGCCAGTTACTTATTATTGTTATTTAACTACGACACTTAACGTATCCATGTTACTTTCTATACTTAACCCTTCCACGACCTTTCTTTGTACGAGCCACGAATTTTTAATGAACCATAGACACTCGCGTACAGCAATGCTATTAAATTTTTGCAACGTCCCACAATAATTCTAATCAACCACCACCCTCCTGTCTCATGGAATCTATTAAATCTAATTGATTACCTATTATTATTTCACTTTACGGTAATACCAATTAAGTCCCATTCGATATTTATTCCACGCGTCCATCACGTAATCAAGTACGTACTGGTGTGTCTAGAATCTTTCAACTAGAACCTGTCGTACAGTCAACTCCAAATTATACGAGGGATATTAGCAGCAATCCTGTCACGTATACATATATACATATATGTATGTATTTACCGGGTTTAACAAAAGTTACCAGAGGCCCACCAGAGTAGCCTGAGCATTTTATTGACAGGATGTTACCCCTCGTCCCTCGATCCCAGTTCTCTGGTTCAACCAGTTGGATGGCTAGCTGGTAGCTGGTTGGATAGCTGGTTCGCCAAACGCACGACAGCCTGGACGTTCGGTTGTCTCTCGGTATCTCTGGACAGGAGTACCAGCCAATGTTCTCATATACAATTTAGGCATACGTATATGAATTTAATATCGGCAGCACTATCCTGTATTTCAGGGCAAGCTGGTCCCATGTGGATACTTCATAGATATTGGCCATAGATGACCGTATATATATTTTTCACTGGTTACACTCGCGTGACCAGCTACCGGTTGTCCACATTATATGGGAACGGCTGTCGCCGTTGCTATTTCGCGATAGTCCCTCACGGTAGCATGGCGAATCGATCCACTCGGCACGAAGAGACGTTTCCAACCTTCTACAGGCAGAGCTGATCCATTGTAGGTTGAAGGTGGACGGAGGTTGACGGTGGTGGAAGAGATTGGTAATCGGTATACCTGGAAGATTCTCTGGATCGATTACGAGAATCAGAATTTTTCTCAAGTTTCTAACAGACCCAGCGACAGAGTAATCCTCGTGATCGATCACGCGTGACTCTCTGATCCAGTTTTTCTCAAGATACTCCCGCGTTCACGATCCTCCACGTTTCGATCGATCGATCGATCGATCCAATGCTATTGTCCTCCATTGCATCTGTGTACATGGAAAGGCCATGAAGAAGCGTTCTCTATTGTCCTCGAGAGTTGCATCACTACTGTATATAGCTATATACCGCGTGCGATAGTGCAGGATCATAAGTTCCCAGGAAATTTGAAAAATTCGCGTATTCCTGTAATTCGCAGTCAGTTACGCAACTGACTTTGTAATTGACAAAAATAAAATGGAGTATGTCGCCGTATCGACGAGATACAGATATATATTGAATCGAGGTAAGTAAGCGTGAATTCACTATACGCGAAGACAGCCATAAGGATCGTGCACGGTAAATTTTACGTATCAACTTTCTCCCATAGATCCTAAACGGCGACTTCGTGGATCGCTCCCGTTCGGGATTCACGGGTATAGAGGGGGACCGCGAGGAGGCGACAGAATACGGGAGATCTAATCTCTAGGAGCATCTTCCGCGTTTCTATGATCTCGCAGGGACAAGACCAACATTGATATTTTGCAGGGGACATTTTTTCACATTTTTTTCGAGAATTACGGAATTTTATGCTGATCGGATGCTGGACAGAAATTTATAAATTTCAATGAGCGATCCCTAAGAGGATCCCACGTGTTGCCAGCCACGAGCTACGAGCTGTAGACTGTCAATGGGTTTACCGTGCTCGAAGCTACCACCTTTTGATCGATACGGGAAAAAAAGCTCAAGAAAGTCGATTAAGCCGAAGTCTCAAAAATGCCAAAGTACCTCGAGTGTTTGTAATCGCAATTATAAATAAATCTCAAAGTGTCTGTCAATATAATTGAAAGTAATTGCTCAAGCAACATTGCGCTCGTCACGAGTGTAAAGTCAGAAGACTTTTTCTAATCCGTAGGAGAAAATCTGGTGAGCTACGAAACCATGACGATTTGGCTTTTTGCCCTGGGATCGACGGCCCGTTTCGATAAAATTCTCCGGCGCTTTCTCCGAATAACGTAAAAGAAATCGATCGCCGATTACGAAAACGTAAAAGTCTCTACGCTATAATATCGATACGTTCGACCAAGTCAAAATATCGGGACGGAAGCTCGAGCTTCGGCCGAGCCATTGATCGGCCCCGTTCGCATCCTGTCTCCGGCAATGAGCATAGCTGTACGCGAAACGGCCGACCCGGCAGCAAAAGACGGTATGGAATTGAGAGCGAGGAAGCACGCGAGCAAAGGAGCAAAGCAGCAAAGCAGCAAGGCAGTGCGAGAGGCAGTGCTGGTTCAGACGTACCCGATGGGTCTTCGAACTCGTAAGATACAGCTTTCCATATGAGACGTACTGGATCTGCGAGCATGCAGGCGCTTGGGCCTAATGAGAATGAGCTAATGGCGTCTAAAGTCTAAAGATCTCGCGGCGGCAGAATCTCGATACGTCGGTTAGCGCTGCGGCAGTACTCTGGACCCTGCGAGCTCAGTCGTAGCCTGGAGGTGGAGAACGCGGAAGCTACGTGCTCTGCGATAAAATCGAAAAACCGTCTGGCAGAGGACTGGAAAAAAAAAGTGCCCGAGACCAGTTAGAAAAATCACGGATACAGAATGATCCAGCTGCCATGTATAGTAATAGCGCGTACGGATGGCTCGTAACAAATTGTAAATCTCGAAGGGATGGGAGGATACTATGGATCCCATGATAAAATCTTATCATCCAATAGAAATAAGACGTAGCACACGAGATACCGATCTCCAGATCCTAGAGTCTTTTATGAGGTTCATGAGAAAGATACAATGTCATGACAGAAGCATCTTCGGGTCGGTGCGCTTACGCGTCTAGCGGTACCTCGAGGATGCTGGGAGTGAAGAGAAGATAAAAGATGAGGAGGATGAACAGTACGTAGGAAGGTACGAGCAGCTCATCCGAGTCCGTACCTTGGTCCTAGCTGGTGAGAGTTCAGCGTATTCCCCCTTTGCCTTCCCATAAAGCCACAGCG